ACCCTGTTCAAGGTCTGGGTTTGAGCCCCGGGGAACCGTCAGTTCGCGTCGGTACGTGTTGATTTCTGCGTGAAGGTAACCTTTGTGCCGTTAATGCAGCCCAGCACCTGGTTTCCAGAACAACCTGGTAACGGAATTATTCTTTTTGTTAGTTGTACTATTCAAATAGAAACTTATGGACCCGATTTTCTGCTGTTACGAAGCAGAAAATTAATCATACCAGCATACAAATGACAAGATTGAGTAAAGACTCAGGTATTATATCATCAGTTCAGACTGTCTTTCCTACAAAGAAAATGTTTCACATATCCCCTGACACCATCCTGCCATGTAGTTTTCCTGGGGTCCTGAATTTCCTGACACTGTGATGTCCGCCCCCAGTTTGAGGTGAATAAAGTGATGCTGACTGACCGATAATTCAGCATATCATCTCAGTAGTAGCATTAATCTTCCGTGTTCAGTGGTGCAATATTTTATGTGCAAAAAGCATCTGAGGCTCAACAAGCCTTACTAAATCCTTACCAGGATTTGGGAAAAACAGTGTTTGTAGAGAGGGTGCCTCCTGCACTGAGCTGCTGGTGGAAAGAGGCAGATGAAGAAGCACCCTTGAATCCATGAGCTCGAACCAGCTCCTCTCCAAAACAGCCCTTCTCTGCCATGTCCAGAAGGTGCTGAGCAAGAGTCGTCATCCAGATGCTCAACAGAGATGCTCCTGAGATGAGCTGGTAGCAGACAGACACGGCCGTGAAGGCTGATCTCCTGAGCACATAGCTTATCTCTTCGTCCTACAAGTCGGGCTGAAGCCAGCAACACCTCATCTGGGTTTAAGGACTCCAAGTGATGATGGTTCCACCGTCCTTGCTCAGAAACCACTCACCCTAATTACCCTTTCACCTAGCATAATGAAGCTTTCAAAGCTGATTATTTCTATTTCAGCCTTTCCTGTGGGATCTTGTTAAGATTTCCCCAGCAATACAGCACTGCACGCCTGCCGTCAGGTATCTTTTTCATATGTAGGGGGCTGGAAACCCTGCTCATACCTGCTGTCCCCTCACTGGGCTGTATTGTGAACGAATCGTTCCTCTACGGCATGCACAGTTCATTGCATGTAATTCAAGGCGGGGGGGTTAAACTGAAAGCATGGAAGTGCCCAGTTGGACCACTGGATGTGGGGCGAGGAGAACCGAGCAGTAGGACACCCACCAGCTCACCCCATCAGCTCCATCCCCTCCATCCCGGGGATACCTCGGGTTTGCCCTCCAACGGCACAGGGATGAAGAGCAGGCGGGCACGTTTGCCTTTCTACAAGAACAAAATCGCCAAAAGGCTCCGGCTCTGTCTTTCTTTGATAAAAAGGCAGCCGGAGAATTGCCCTCTCCCACGAGCCCCAGCGCTCAGCCTATGAGATAATATAGGCTGGCCTTTTCTTTGCAGCTGTATTGTTTTAGTGCTTGGAAAATAGCAGCAGGCTGAGCAATGAGTCATCTGTCACTAGATGGGGTTAAAGTAATTTCCGTTTTCTGTTGCCATGGGGAAATCAATGTCCCAAGATTTGTCCTTTCTCCCACTCAAACACGTGGGTGTAGAAAGCCTGAAACCCAGCGGGGCTAAACATTTTTTTTTATTTATTTTACATTTTTTTTCTTTTCCCTTATAAACAAACTTCCCTCCGTGGCCTTGCAGCTGTCAGTCTGTTCCCGGAATCGTCCGGTTAACAATGTCATTCCCCTTGGATTGCAAAAAATCCAGAAGCAGAGTTTAAGTAAATATTTGACATTCATATAGGAGTTGCTTCATGGTATCCCTTATAAGAGTCTCTGTCGCCTGTAAAGTTTTACGTGTACATTCAAGGAGGTTATAAACTTGATATTATACAAATAAAATTGAAACTTCAAAAAAAAGTAAATGAAAGCAGCAGCTCACCCAGTGTTCAGAATATAGTGTGTAACAGAAACAGGAAAGAGGAAATTGCAGTAAATACCGTTTAAAAGCCTTGCTAATGTATAGCTTATATGAGTAGCAGCATAGCAACATCTAGTGTTGATCAGGGATATAGCTGAAAGTTATCGTCATACTTCATTAAGGGCAGTTTGATGAAATCTGCAGGCAGGCTTTTCCCGGACCACCACACCACTACCCAGCCACAACCTCAGCTCCTTCTCCGTGTGTTTCGTAACATGTCATTTTTTCACGCTCCGTGTCACTGCCCTCATTAGCTTTGCAGCAGTACAGTCATCTGGTAATGCTCTCAGTCTGCCTAGATCGTTATGAAAATTATTGTGGTTATACTTAAGAGCCGACTCAATAGATCTACAGGTTTAAATGCCATTCACGGCAACGGTGGCCAAAACTTTTAGCAGCTGAACTGAAATTAAGCAAGCAATTCCTACCTGACAGCTGAGCACGTTACCAACTGCATCGTAAAACCCAGGACCAATTAAATATTGCTGTCAAATCGGTAGAGCGCTCAGAATTACTCCTTTCCCTAGAAAATGAGCATGCAAGTGTGAGGTTGCAATGCTAAGTGGTGTGTCAGAGAAGGCTGTGTTTTTGCTCTCCTGTATTACCCTGCAAATGCAGGGAGTACTGTATTATGCACAGTTTAAGACCATCTACCAAAAATATGTTTGAGGTGCATTTTGAATCTATCACTATATCCCATGTAGACACTTCTTTTCATTTAAAAGACCCCTGATGCTCAAAGTTAAGTTCCTTGCTACTTAGCTCCTCTGTAGGTATACATTATGGATTAACATCAGTTTAGTTTTGATTAGTTAAGTTTAACTAAACGAATTAAGTTTAACTTAGCATTAGTTTAGCTTTTTAGTTTAGGTTTAATTATTTTTAATGGCTTTGTTAAACTCTCCTGCTGTTTTTTTTCATATAAGCAAGCCCTTCTATCAGGGCTCAGTGAGGACTACTTAGATAAAATAATTCTTCTCCTTAGATTACAGCTCCTATTACACGGGGTTTGCTTCATCTTCAGTAAAATAACATCCTTTGGATTTTCTCAAACAAAACAAAATTCATGAATGGCTGCCTTCCAAATCCAGCTCTGTCTTGCAACACCCTGTGAACAGATTTTTTTGCCACGTTTAAGTTTATTACATGATCTAATTAGCATGACTGTGTAGGTGCGTGGAATGCACTGGGGGAGAGGAAAAATACAAGTGTACAAAATGCTGTTATATAATTTGCTATGGGGACACGCTTATTAAACACAGAGACCTGGATCACTGTCCATGGATACTTTTCAGCAGGAGTTTGGGAGTGAGCAGTTGGGCAAGGAAAAAGAAAGGGAGTTCAAGTCTATAGCAGAGGAAAGGGTCAAGAGAAGGAAAGACTGACTACCACCTGATTTTTGTGACTTAAAAAATACAATTACAAGTTTTAAAAGGTATTAATTCTATACTCACATTTGTTGCTTTTGTCTCCAGACAAAACAATTCAGTAAAATTCAATGCATGACTGAAAGCAAGGACTGCAAACTTATCGGCTACACTGCGAGGCTTGCTCTTCATCAGAAAATGAAATACAACTTCTAATTAATAGCAGGAAAATACGTATTGTTAACCACTCCAGCCATGAGAAAGGCATTAGGGTGTCTATTGGAAACATGCAGCCGGAACGGAGATCAGAGCTCTGCTTCATGTTATTAAGACGTTCACACCGCCCTAACCAAATTAAATGGGAAGCTGAGTAACATGAAGCTATCAGACTCTTTCTTCCTTCTGCATGCATGAAATGACATTTTAAAGTTACGCGTGATCTTTCAGAGCCTTTAGAGGGGTCAGGCTCTAGGCGCATCTGGCATGCCGATTCTCTCATTCAGGAACATGAAGTCATCCTCCGAGTTGCATTCCTGAGTCAAGAACGTATAATTTTCCATGTGTCACTCTACTGACTTGCACATTGAATGGAGATTATTATTAACTTCGTTGAAGATTGGGCATATTTAAGAAACTTGCAAACCCTGCTAATTGTCTTTTAATTAAACGAGAAGTAGAATAGTGTTTGGTAAAGAGGGCTGATATTATTTGAATAAACACGCTCCACACAGCCTGCTGCGCTATGCCGTAAATCAGTTCAGCGCCAAATCCCACCCGATGGGGTGAATTGGCTATTATAGGATCTTCAGAGGTGTAAGATTAACGGTAAAAGTACTACTTGTTAAATTTGCCACTCTGCTTTGCCCTGCCATGCGGAGGGGACCTTGTCATTCTATGACATGAGTTTGATGGTTATCAGCAGCGCGCCGCAGGGGTTGCATATGATAAAGTACGCACACAACTGCTTTGGCTCTTGCAATCAAAATATTTGCTGTGGCAGGTAGGGAGAAACGGGGCTCGTCTAATGAGCAGCGGGAGGCACCCAGCCCTAATCCCTTTGGAATCAAAGGCCTTTCCCCCACCATGCCCAGGAACAGATCCTAGGAGCGACCCCCAGCCTCCAAAGAGCCTCTCAAAGCTCTCAGTGCCCTTATCTTTCACATTTGGGGCAATCAAAGGCACCAACAGTATTAGCGGTGCGCTTCGCTTGATTTCAAGTTACAAGCTAGAACCTATTCCCTCTAAATTTCCTTGCTACAAACACATGACATCAGGAATAACTCTCCCTGGGGAGAAGGTGGTCCTGCTCCGAAGGATGTATCCGTGTCCCGCAGAGGGTGCTGGCACCGGGGGGACTGGTTTCACGCCGGCTGCGATGGGCAGGTCAGCGTTGGAAACAACCACCCCGGTTGCTGTCAGCAAGTTTCTGGCTCTCTCTGCACCGGGAAGCGGTCTGTCCTCTTGGGAAAGCAGATGAAGGAGTAATTCAGAAATCACAGGATGGGCTTTCTGCGGCTCAAAGTGAAGGGCAACGAGGCTGGAAAAAAGCCCGTGTTCCTGGGGGTGAAGGGGCCTTATTTACCACACTGTGATACCTTCTGTTTCTGTAGGAACATCTAAAGATAAACAGAATAGTGCTTCCTCATGCCAGGTAAACAGCTCTTACATGCCATGGCTATGGTCTCTAAGGAGCTTCTGTTTATTATGAACCATCTCTGCCTCAGCTTTAGCTGTGACTCCAGCAGGGAGAGGCTCACAATGAAAGTGAAGAGCTTGCATGAAGTTACCGGAGGGATACTTACTACTTCTGGGATTATAAGCATTTTTTTTCTGGAATTTTTGCTTTTTTCTCTGTTTTTTTCTTATACGCCCTGGTTCTTCGGATGCAGTGTTGGCCTTGCCAGTCCCATTTGGAAAGAGCTTTGGGACGCAGAACAAAAATGTTATCAAAGGAAAGATGTTAGTGATGCTACAGAGACTTTAGAAAGTCAACTATGTCTGAATTATTTATTTCCTAGCTCCTGTGAACTATCTTTAAACAGAGAAATGCTTGGAATTACATGAAACTAAAGCAAGAGGCTCCCTGGAGGTTCTTGATAACACTTAAATTTGCAGTAAATACTGGCGTATTGATTATTATAATGACCTGCCGATTTTCATTTCCCTTTACAGAGAAAACCCAAACTTTCTTGTTCTGAACCCAATTTGGATTGTTAAAAGGGTATAGATATAAATTAACATCCCCCAGGTTGTGCTGGTGTAATTGAGACCATCGTTTAGCTCTTTTCTTTGGTTCCTTTCCTAAGCTTTTGCATTTCCAAAGGGATGTTGTAAGTGATGCAACGAGACAAGTACGACGAGCTTTCCAGAGGAAAAGCTCAGTAGGCACGCAGCCGTGAAATCCTCATCCTCCTCGCTGAACGCGCCACGCCTGCCTGGTACCTCCTCACGGAAACCGGCTGGTTGCACAACGTAAAAGCCGATGAGGTTTTTTGGGGACAAGGTCCTGTAGCTGCAAGGGTTAAGAGGTGCTGGTGGCCCTGTGGCAGTGGGTGAAGCCCTGAGGAAGCTGAGTCAAAACGGGGGCTGGAGGAAGGGTGAGTCTTCTCCCCCTCACCCCAATGGTTGGAGGGGACTCCCACCCTCAGTTTTCCAGTGGACTTGATAGTGTTCTTGTGATTTGGATGGTCGTGATTTAGCCATGGGGTTTTATACCCATGTATTCCCACCACGTGGCTGGTAAACCATGAACAGTTCGTTCTCTTCTTTTTAATCCGAAAGGAGAGAGAAAAAGCTTTTTCATGGCTCTGTCATTTCTGATGGCCTCATACCAAGGATTTGACTACAGTACTTTATGGCTTTCCTACCCCTCCCATCAACCTTGAGATGTTTATTTTCCTTCAAACATGGCTGTTTGCAGCAGGCTAACAAGAACTGCAGATCTTTTAACACTGCTATTTGCTTACCGAAGACATCAAAGCCTTTTTTTCCACAAGCCTTCTTTGAGTTGGTACAACCCGCAAACAGCCATGCAAAATCAAGGTGTGCTTTGCGTAGAGCAAAATAAAACCACAGACGGCTGAATATACAGATATTTTCTTATCTGAGATTCTAAATTTAGCTCCGCATCATCTCTCATTCCTCAGCTTCTCAAACTGTTCGCTCCTAATCAAGAGCCCTGCAGTTTCAGCAGACCTGCCTATTGCCTTCAAGTTGGGTGGAAGAATATGACTGCACACGTGGACAGTGGCAGCAATAGCAGCTAATCTAAACCAAATATTTTGTAACATCTATGAGCAGATGCGTTTCCTCGTTTCACTTTGACAGTCGAGATGCTGTGCTAATGGAAAGCAGCACTCTGAGCTTTTTTCATTAGGTCCCGTCAGCGTTCGGTTCAGATCCAGGCTGTGGGTGCTGGGCAATAGGCAGCGCAGGAAATGACAGATGTTGGCAGCAAATTAAATAACAAGATCTGCTGAAAATAATGTCCTAAGAAACGCTGGGGCATCCTTTTTATGGATTTCCTAGATGTGCTGAGGCTATTTTAAGGCCAATCGAACTCCCACGCCTTACGGTGTAAGCAGGATTATTCCTTGTACGGAACATAAGGTGGTGTAAGCATCACCATTTGTGTATCACTGCCATTTCCAGCCATCCTTCAAGTATTGCCTCACCCCGAACGCGCATCCCACCATTCAGAGCTTAGTGGCGGTCTTCAGAGAGCATTAAGCATTGACAGTCCATCAGAGGAAGCATCTCTGTGGAGGACAACCTCAAGTCTCTCCATGGAGGAGGACCTACTAGAGTGGTACCAACAGATAGGCTCCCTCAGGAGCTATTCAACCGGTCAGCTGTGGTATGGACAACAGGGAAGAAGAGGGCAATGAAGAAGGAGGAGAGAACAAGGACTGACCAACAGGGGTTTTATTCCACGAGGGAGCAACTCACCCCAAGCTGCGTTGGCTGAAGGTCACAGAGCGGGCAAATGCCCGAGGCTTTCCGGGAATCGGGAAGGGCGACGTGCAAGGTCAGCGAGGGTCAGTAAGGCAGATCTGCACGGACAAAGTACAGGTAACGAGAAACGCTGACTACGTTGGTTGGGGAGGGATGGTGTGTTAAGGGCACTTTCGGCAACATCCAACTTACTCTTTCATCACCCGGCTGCGGGTGTAGTTCAGCCCGTGACGCGCTGCGTGACCTGGTGCTCGGGCCAGATTTGGAGACCTGGTGCAAGGCGTATGGAGGAGACCTGGGCAGGATGGGCTGGGTGGTGAGGTGATGTGCTGTTCAGCAGCTCTTAACCCTGAAAACACCAAGAGGAGATGCAAGGGGCAAGCAATACAAACCTCTCCCCTTTCACTAGCTTTAAACCAGGCAAGCAGCGCTGGTGCAAACAGGGCGCAGCCAGAGAGGCTGCAAGTGCGTTACACAGGAGTTTTGGCCACTTCCCTTGATTTTGGGTGCTGCTGAGCTTGGGTATAGCATGTGGCTGAGCAAGGCAGGGCTCAGCCTCCTAGAGGGGAGGAAGAAAAGGAGCGACTGTTCCCCAGTCCCACGGTCCCCATGGGTTGGGAGCCAGGACACGGCCCCTCCAGTCCCAGCACTCAGGTGTCTCCTGCAGAGCGCTTGGAGAGTCTCGCCTTAAGAAATAAACCAAAATGGCAGAGCCTTAAAAAAAAAGTTTTAAGCACATCCAACTTTGGGATAGAGCATAAAATTTCTTGCCAGAGAATTTAAAACAAACTGGAAACTGATCATCTACTCATTTAAACGATGTGCCTGGAGCTAAACCAGCAAGGCTGAATAATCTGTGCACTGCTTTCATCCTTCTTCAATTTTTTCTTTGTTCCATCAGCCACATGTGCGTTAAGTGTAAATTGAAGGGCTCTTAGCTGGAAAAGGAGATTGTGAAAAGGGCTTGGCCCTCATCTTATAATTCAGCTTCGCTATTACAATTACTCTTAATAGCACTCTTATTTTGTTGTATTATTTATTCTGGCTAGAACCTTCTAGGATCCCTTGAAGGCTTTTTTTTTTTTCTGGTGGATTTAGCCAACATCCACTCATGAACCCAGATGTTTCTGCTTTTATCCACGGGAATTTTATGGTATGGATATGCCAAGATTATAACTTCAGGCTCAGCCTCAAGACAACTATTTTTCAAATTCCCTAAATCAAAAATGGAAAGTGCCATGAAAAACCTGGGCCTTACTGCGTTTAGTATGCCAGAATGGAAATCACACCACAGGACAATATTGCTCAAGGTTCTGGATCTGTGTCGATATAGTCTTCGACGTTGCACCAGAAATTACAGCCCAGCTCATGCTATTTTCTGTGTTCTCAGACACAGACTCTTGCCTTTAGCACATCTTCAGCTCTTCTTTCCATTCACTAGCCTGAGGTTAGAAGCAAAGATACATGTGGGTCCAAGATGCTTACACTGGGAAAAAAGATTACTCACTGCAAGCCAGAGTCACTGCTGGTGTATTTAAATGAATGAAAATGCGGCTGTGTATGTCGGCTCCCCATTATCAACACAGATACTCTCCCCAGTTAAAACCGGTTCTGAAATAAGGACAGTGACAAAACGTACCCTGCCGTGATGGGGATGTGGTGAATAACGCAAGTGTCTGCCATGCACTTTGGAAGAATAACCGAACTCAAACTCGTTCCTTGTCCAGAGTGACAAAAGCAGCATGAAGCAGACATTAAAACAACCTTAATAACCTCCCTTTCTGCACTGCCTGGGGTTTCCTTCAGGCACTCCCATTCGCGGTGTCCTGGGTTTCTTCCCTCTTCCCCATTTGTCAGTGTGATACTCCTGATCGAAGTCACTGTGCGGTGGTGGCCAGTGCCAGCGTGGTGGCTGGGAGGGTGTCCCCTTTTGGGGATGGCCATGTCCTTCCAAGCGCCCCGAGGTAGGTCAGGAGCACGAGAACGGCAAACGCAGGAGACGCGCAGAACAGTTTTCGTTGGCCTTCTGGCAGCAAACGGCAAACATCATCTGTGGCCGTGCTGTGCACAAAAAGGATGCGATGTTATGCCTGAGTCCACAAAAGGTAAATTTTAGCTTTTCTTCTGACTGGCCTTGAGCGCACACCACCAGGACCCTGGTCCTGCTTCTTCTGTGCACGATCCAACCCCTTTCAAATCACTCTCTGTGCACTGGACCAGGGAGAAACACAGAGCAGTTATTCCAGCCTGGTAGAGGAGAAGAGCCCATTCCACTCCCCAAGAGGCTCAAACGCAGCAGCTAGTTATTGCTTGCTCTAACAACATTCGTTCTTTACCTGCAGAGTTATTCGATCAAAGGAAATTTAAATTATTCCTAGAAGCTCTTCTAAGGCTTCCCCCAGCATGGAAAAGCCTCTCAGCTGGCACAAAGGATGGAGCTGGCTCCATAGCAAACCCCTCCGGGTCAGGGATGCGCCAGGACAAGAAGGAGGCGCGAGAGCTGGGGCGCGGGCGCCGAGGGCTGAGCACCCAGCACCGAAACAGCCGGCGCCGGCTCCAGCAACAAGGCTTTTCACCCACCTAGCCCGGAGCTGAGCTCGGCCACACCGAAATCCTGCTGTGTGGAGCTGCTGAGGGGGCAGGGGTAGGTGGTGCAAGGTGCCATCGGTTGGGGTGACAAGTCCAGGAGTCCGTACGGTGTCACACACGGCGAAGGAGCAGCAGAGTTCATCTGGGCAATGCAGTCGAAGGGGAAAGCACTTTTCTTGCTAATACCATGGATCAAACGTACTGTCCAGGGCTTACAGAGGGTGCACATTAAATATCCCACCAGCAGGGTAGTTCTGCCAGTTCCTATCACATTTTCTGTTTTATAATGAGGAACTTTGTTAGTATTCAAGTATGCAGTTTAAATTTTAAAGGCCAGCCACTGTACTTATATGCTATATGACAAACGGCGTAAGTATACCTGTTCCAATTTACTCTTCTAGTATTTTTACTAAAATATGGTTTCAAGGACTTTGTCTTCCCTGTAAGAAAAAAAATATCCATATTTTTCTTTAATAAGTTTATGACATTCAAGCTACTAATTTTCCTTACCATCACATCCCTTACTGGACACAGAAAAAAAGGAGACTGACTATAAAAACCAGGGGGTTTTCTCCAAGTTGGAAATGAAGAAATACAAAAATACCGAGCTCTTTACTTTTAAAGTTTTTTTAAAAATTCTCTCAGCAGGTCAGAAAAGTGATAAAATGCTTTTGTCTCCGTTTCAGTGGGAGGCTAGTTTTGCCTTCGGCATACTGAGCGTCTCTTCTCCTTGGCCCATACTGCTACTGCTCACTTGCTGGGATTGCTGGGACCAAGTACCTGGGTTACGCAGTCCTGTTCCCCTTTCCCTATGTTGACTTCCCAAACCTCTGCAAAGACCCATCGCGTTATGAGTGGTCCCACCTCACCCTGCAAATACTGGACCTGTTTTTGAATTTGGCCGTATTTTGTGCATCTTTGGGTTTTGGGATGAGTTTTGTGAGATTGCTTCAGTTTGGACATTTAAACGTGAGCATGGGTCAAAGCGGGGAAGGTGGATTGCCAACTGTAATGCCCTTAATGGCAGCCAGAAGGGCGGCACAGCAGGATCATGGCCCCTGAGGCCATGTGCATCATTCCAATAAATCACTTTATGAACCAGTAATTTGGCCCTTCATACCCATTACTGTTTCAACTAAAGGGACACGGCTTTAGCATATATAGCCTGGGCCTCTGAATTTAAAGGCTGGGCAAAATTTTACGGAAGTTATACAACTTGCTTTTGACATTACAGAAAGCAGAACCTGAAGATTTGCCTTTCTGCTCTTCCTTACGACTGCGAACACTGCACTGCCGTCAACACACGGAGCTGTTAAAACCCGCGCAGGCTTAGATCTGTTACCTGAACAGCAGAAGAGGTGTGAAAAATTACCACCATCCAGCACGTATCATCTCTGCTCCAGGTAGAGCCTTAGGCAGCAGCACCTTGATGGTGTGGGAGGACGAGAGGAGAAGGCAAGAGGAGGAACACACTTTTGGGTGACCCAGAGCCCAAGGCACCACGCTCCCGACCAGCTCCCGCATGAGGCACAGCATCGATTTCCAGCCCTGACGTACCTCCAGCCCACGCGCCTCGGAGGACTCGCTGCTGGTTCAGACAGTGGCAAAATTTTGCTGTGCTGAGGAAAATCTCACCTTCTGTGCATCCGATCCCTTGGGGTTTTTTTTGATTCCCTTGAACCTTTGTTTGGAGCTAGGCTTGAATCCCCCAAAATAAGTGTTTCCATGACAACAGCCCAGCAGCGGACTCCTCTGGGGGATCTGAAGAATCCAAACGCGGCCAGTGCTTCCTCCTGCTCCAGCATCACACCCCGTGGTACCACAGCCCTGTCCTATCCCCTCTCCCTCCTCTCACGCTGAAGTAGACTGCAAACTACTTTCGGGCAGAGCTCTGTCTGCTTTGGCGTGACTGGCATTTACTGAATGATAAGTCACCCCGCACAAGTGATGTACGAGCAGGTATCAGACCGTGGTACCAGCTTACGGGGAGGGAGAGAGCCAAAAGGGTCTGCAGTCTAAAGGACTGGACAGCTGTTGGATTTCGTAATCCCCTAAGCTTTATTAACAAAGATTCGTAATTTTCATGCCCTCCCTGGTATTTTACAGGGCAGAAGAAATGATCCTTTGTTAGTCACAGTCACTGCTTTGCTGCCAATACCCAGCATTTCTCCTGCCCCGCAACCGCTGAACCCTCCGGTCCCTGCCCAGCAAAGCAGGCGAAGGGCCCCGCCGAGACAAAAAGCATCCCCAGATTTATCCTCCCCTCCAGCAGGGCAGGATACCAGCCCTTTGCAGAATCAGGCCCTGCTTGCCCAAGCGTTTTCTCCCGCAGGCAGCACAGCCGGTACCTTGCCCAGAGACCGGCTCCAGCCGAGTGCCCAATTGATCCACCGCTCTTGAGGCTGTTCCAAAACCCCATCCCTTCCCTGCAGCACTTCTGTCTGCCTTCACACCAAGATTTATGAGGGTTATCCATGGACGCGGTTGCAAGAAAAGTCCAAGAGCTTTCGTCGCAATGCCGCAAGCGGCGCAAAACCAGCAAAATGCTCTTTGCGTACCTGGTCTTCGCTGGAGGGATACGAGCGGGACACCCAAAACGCAGGCAGCAAGCTCTGAAACGGGACCTGAGGAGGCAGCGTGGATGCGTGCCAACCTGACAATGGGGTTTCATTTAACAAGCACAGATTTAAGTGTAGAAATCAAATATGAAACAGTTGTAGCCAGCATTGTCTGCATTCTTGGAGTGGCACTAAACTAGCAGAAAGAAAAGAACCGAGACACTGGCCCAGACATGCTCCAGCTGTCTGCGACTACCTCTTCCCTCCTCCACTGAATGTAACCATTCAGCTTGTTTTCATTTCATTATTGGATGTTATTTTTGCAACCTGGGAAAAGAATAGAAAAGGGGAAAAAAAAGTCCTTCAAATGCTTTGGGGTTTATTTTTAAGAACTAGACCATTTCTTTCCTTTTTATCGGAGATGAAGTACAGACTTTAAAAAGTGCACAGGGCCTACGGTATAATTAGCTAAGCATTTGTTTCTCAAATAAGGTCCTTTATCTCAGAGGCAGCAGCATTTGCGTTGCTGTGGTTATTCACGTAAGTCGTACTCATGTAGGACTGAGCAACGTGCAATTAAATAGCCATATAAAACACCCACAGGGTGAGCAACAGCTGCCTACAGGTAACCTTCAATTTCATGCACTCACTTGCCAAATGTTTCAGCTCTAGCCATATAAATCCTCATTTGCATGTGGGAGCAGGGCAGGCCCTTTCCTCCAACACCACAGGTAGGTAAACAGGAGGCACTCCTTCACCAGGCATAGCGCAAATTAAGCTTTTAATGAGTTGGTTAAAAGCCCGATGCTACAGATCGGTATTAACGGGAGTGCTTCTCAACCCACTGCAGGGTCAGCCCTTCCCCAGCTTCCCTTCCCTCCTCTGCCTTCCTCTCGAGAGCACAGCTTATCCATTTTTAATGTTAAAACGAATTTGCATCCACAATCTGATAATAATTTATTTTCCCTCCCTTTACACCAACTTTGCTTGACAGGGAAATGCGAGCATGCACCACTCGTCCCCCCCAGCTGGGGACACTCCACCCTATGAAAAAGTCCAACACTTGCCAAACAAAGGGCCAGGATTATATAGTTTCCCGCTGAGCTTAGTGGGAATTCTCAGTTTGGGCTGGACTTCTCTGGAAAAATCTTTCCTCCATTTTGATGCTAATACACTTCAGCACAGCAGCAAATTGTCAATGGTGCTTCAAGGGAAAAGCAGGATTCAGAGTGTTTCTTACCATTTTATTTTTCTTCTTCTTCGGGACAAAGTCATATATGCTAAGCCAGGAGCTCTTTTCAGACCAGCTCTTGCACACTCCTGCAGTATTGCTGGCAGGAGGCGGCCAGATATGCTTTCATGTGAGTTGTTGTCTCTCCAAGTGCTGTTTTGTAACAGCCAAAGCAGGTCTGGAATACTAAATTTTGGTATTTTAATCTCCAACTAAGATTTTTGAAGTACACATGCAATAACTGTTCACTACATGCGGATCATTGCTTCTTAACGTATGGCATCGCTCTAAGGATTTGCATGGAAAAGCTTTAACCTTATTTTTACCTTATTCCAGCCAGTTCAGCAAGGGAGAGCCCTTCCTACCTCCTGCTCCAGCATGGTCCTCCACTGGGCTGGCTGGATCCCAGTATGGCACTTGTCAGCAATACTGGAGACATCAAGCATGGCAATCCGCTCCCCAAGGCACCGACCCGACCCTGCCAGGCAATCTGGGGGCCTGAATACGTTTTAAAGCAGATTGGAAGATGGGAAAGAAATTTTGGAGTGTTTCTTGAAATTATGTTCTTTCCATTTTATGGCATTCAAATCAGATCATTTTCTTTTTCATCCTGACTTTTTTTACCTTTTAGTAGTTTTTAATTTTTTAATGAAAATTAATTCTCATACTAGAATCTAATTTCTATTCATTAAGGAAAAAAGATGATGATTTCAAGCAATGAGTTTCTCCAAATCCAGAAACCCTAAACATATGGTCAACACCAAGCCTATGAGCAGCTCCATTTACCTTAACATGTGTGCTTATCTCTAAGCATGTGCTTAAGTGGTTTGCTGGCAAAAGCTAGAGTGCTTACCCCTTTCCAGGTGACCCTATTTAATATTTACTGGTATGAATCTGCTCAATAACTATAAACACCAGAAAAAACCCATTGAATTAGCTCTACACAGAGCTTTTCCAAATCTGATTTCTACATTACCCACGAGGTCAAACTGTTCCGTGCTGAAGGGCTGACCCCAAAGCCACAGGAATCAGTGGAAGGGTGTTGACCAATTACACCGGTTTGGGGATGGGATCCCCTGTGAGCAGAAACACCTTTCTCGTTTTGGCACTGTGACTAATAGGGACAACAAAGGCTCTACACTGTCATTAAGAAAATTTGTTTTATGTCCTGACATCCCGTTAACCTCCAGCGCATTTAAAGGAAGCTGTTAATTTAATGGTTGCGTCAGAAAGATATGGCAGAACATGAATTGCTGAGCAACGAAGGAAATCTTCAAGCCTAATGTCAGCATTAACACCTGCACAGGACAGCACTGACTGCAGGGACCTCTGTACAGAGCATAAATTCAAAGAATCTGCCCTTGACAAGGAGAAAATTTTCAAGTCAAAGTGGTAGTAGCTGCTACAGGCTCTAGAGAGAGGCTTTGGTATCTGCCTCCACCATGTCCTCCAGCAGCAAAGCTTCTCAAGATCCTACATGTCCTTGCAGTTGGATTTGATGCAAAAAATGGATGGATTAATCCTCTCCCACCACTTGGAAGTAAGAAGCTGCACACGGGGTCTTATCTCACCCTGTTATAAAGGGTTCTTAGCAGCCCTCAAGAACCAGAAAAGTTTATTTTGCTATTAAGCCCGAGCAGTGCCTGGATTTCACTGCAATTAAATTTGACCATAGGTGGTATCCATTTTACTGAGTATCAAACTTATATCGTGCCTATTTGCAAAGGTAAAAGTGGAAGGTAATGGTAAGACACTTACCTAAATTGAGGTGCTTGACCTAAAAATATAGAAAGATGTAAAGGCCCTGGCTCAATAAAATACTTCGGCACATACCTAGCAGCAGACACGCAGACGATGCTGTTGAACTCAGCCTGACATAAATGCTGCAACTAGTATTATGATAATCGGGATTCATTACAAATTGGATGGGATCTGCAATACAACTGCTCTGTAAAACTGTGGTTTTAATCTTCGAATGCCCGTACATCACTTGAAGCGATAAAGCTGTAGTCTTTCCGTTGCCTGCTCAGACGCTGGCTTGTATTTATACACCAGAAAACACCTTGATTTACAAAAGCAAAGTAGAAAGATTATTTGGTTTGTTATATTACTTTCAAGACGAAAACCCTTATCTTTGCGTGTCAGGCTGGCACTCACACTCGAGTCCCAGCTCGCTGACCCACATTTGATGCTTGTACAGATTTGAGCACTGACCTTCCAGGCCTGAGATCGTGGACTTGTGTCCTTGACCCCTGCAACTCATAGCATTCCTCCAAACATCTTCCCTGATTGTGGGTCACTCCTGACTTTGCCTCATTTTCTGTTAAAGAGCCCACCACCTCCGTTCATCCAGTCTCCCCATCTGTCTCCCGCACAACCCTCACCGTCCTTTCCCCGACTCTACTCTCCACTCTTCAACCTGTGGCTCAGGGTCAGCATCATCCTTCAACCCTTTATCCTGCTGCTTACATTTTTCATCCACTAGCTCCTGACGAGAAGTGGAAAGTTCCTTGCAGCTTCAGCCAGCCTAACCTCCTAAGGTCT